AGGAAGATGGGCATGGATGTTAGCCCAGGGCCAGTCTTCCTCAGCAAAAAGAGGAGGATTGGCAGATGTTAGCTCAGGGCCGATCTTCCTCACAAAAAAAAAAAAGAAAGAAAGAAATGTCTTCCACCTGTGATAAAATTGCATAGAACTAAATATACCCACACAATGAATGCCTGTAAAACTGGTGAAATCTAAATTTGGATTGGTGAATGGATTGTATCGAATTCAATGTCCTGGTTGTGATATTGTACTATAGTTATGCAAGATGTTGCCCTTGGGAGAAACTGGGTGAAGGGTATACTGGATCTCTCTGTATTATTTCTTACAACTGTATGTGAATCTACAATTATCTCAAAATAAAAAGTTAAAACAAAAGTCTTTCTAAAAGTTATCTATAATAATAATAACTACCATTTACTGAGTGCTTACTGTGTGCTAAGTACTGTTCTAAGCATTGTCAGATGGATACTATTGTTAACCTCATTTTATAAATGACAAAACTGAGGAACAGAGAGGTTAAGTCACTTACATAGAGTCAACCATGCACTAAGTGGCAGAACTAGCATTCGGATTCAGGCAGCCTCACTCCAAAGATAGAGCTCTTAACCACTGTGCTATGCTGTGTATCTGTCTTCATATCCTGCCTCCTAGTCACACTTCAACCCACCCCATTCCAAGTTAGCTTCCATCCCAATCACTCTCCTGAAATTGCTTTTGCCGAGATTACCAACAAGTCCACGGCTAAATCTGATGGAATCTTTTTTGGCCCTAACCATTCTGCAGACTTCGATATTGTTTATACAGTCACAGATATTTATTGAGCACCTACAGTATGCCAGACTCTTTTAAAGCAGTGAACAAGACAGGAAAACTGCTGTACCTGAAGAATGCACATGTCTTTAATTGTTACAATTAGAGGGTAAGCAATCTTCAGTCACTGCTGACTTGTTTGTGAATAGTCAACAGGCCACCTTGTTTCATGCTTTTGTTTTTCTGTGGCTGAAACAGATCACATTGTTATTTTGTTTGTGGTTTCACAGCATAACTTGGAATGTACTATATTTAGATAGCATCTTCACTTTTCCTCAGATGGAAATCTGAACCTTTCCAAGCAGTTGTCATGAATATGAATAAATTAAGAGAGCCAGACCCTGAAGTGTAACCTTCTTATGTATTAGTGATAAATTGTGAAAATTAATTGCCTTTGACCTTTTACCTACTTTTTTCTGTATGAGGATAATTTGAATTAATTTTATGCCCTATTATTTGGAAACACCAGGAAGATCTCTGCAGGATATTAAATAAGTTTCATTCCATATGTCCAAATAAAAAGCTACTCCAAGGAAAATACTTGACTTCATGGAGACATGATGGTAGCTTTTTGATTTTGCCAAAGCTGAGCACTTGAGCCAGAGTTGAAGGCAAGGAGTCTTCTTGTCTTCTTCCGTATGTCCATGGTTATTTTCTGTGTTTTCATTCCTTTCCCCAATTCAGTAAAGAAGAGAAAAAAATTTTCTCCTACTTCATCATGCCAAAAAACAGCTCTAGTTTTATTAGTTCTAATGGGAATGTGTTCTACTTGATGACTAGAAGCCACTATAATCCTCTTGCTTCTATCCAGGGTTCCTGTTTTTGTCTAATAGCTGTTTGTTTACAGCAGCAGTTAGCAATTTGCACGGACAGTCCTGTCAAAGTCACTGCCTTCAATGAAACCCAAATGCCTCTTGGAAGAAAGATGACAGATTCAGCCCAGCGACTTGCACAACTTTTAAAAGCGATTCCTTGTCAAACATGTGAAAAACAACTCTTCCATCTCCATGACTTGAGGAAAAAAATGAGACACTATCTTTCACCAGATGGCGATTCCTTGCTAGTAGAACAGGGCTGGGATGATTCAGCTCCATTATGCTCCTCTCGCAAAACCCACAAAGAACACATTTGGGGCCACTTTTCAAAGTTGGCAACAGTCTTTGCTTTTTAAAGAAATCATATGAATACAAAAAAAGCCACAGTAGATGAAGGGCTTGGAATCTCCAGGGCCCAGAAATGGGATAGATAGGCCTTAAATTCTAGGTCATCAGTTAGAACCTGGCCTGGACCTAAGAATCATCCCATTTGTTGCCAGGTTTGGTTACTTGATTAAATTTGGCTAAAACAAAAACAAATTGGGAAAAGGTTATATTTTCATGTTGAGTAGACCTCTTCAAAAAAAAAAAGGAAGGAAGAGGAGGAAGAAATAGAACTATAAGAATACCCTTTGAGATGATAAAGTGATTCCTAAATTCAAATTACTCTAGGTCTAAAGGAGTCAATCGTTAATTTTAAGTCCAGTACCTTTCTGTACCATTTACGTATAAGGTATTATAGCTGCTTTCGTTTATTTAGAAAGGATTTGAACCAGTGTGTCTGTGTGTGTGTGTGTGTCTTCTTAATTACCTGGGCTTTTTAAAGGTGGAATAGATGGGGCCAGCCCAGTGGCGCAGGCGGTTAAGTGCACACGCTTGGCTGCAGCGGCCTGGGGTTCGCCGGTTCGGATCCCGGACGCGCACCGACGCACTGCTTGGCAAGCCATGCTGTGGCGGCATCCCATGTAAAGTGGAGGAAGATGGGCACAGATGTTAGCCCAGGGCCAGTCTTCCTCAGCAAAAAAAAAAAAGAGAGAGAGGAGGATTGGCAGATGTTAGCACAGGGCTGATCTCCTCACCAAACAAAAGATGGAATGGATGCCTCAGGACATAATGAAACCCTCTCACTGAAGATATTGAAGCAGAGGCTGGTCAGCCATTTGCTAGAGATGTTGCGAAGAGGTTTCAAACACTAGACTAGTAATTGTATTGGTTAGTTTTGAATATTTCTTCTTCGTGTAAAAATTCTATGCATTATGGATCAGCCCCTTTCACCTGTCACTTTTTTAATAACCTTGATTTGGGGCCTTCTCAGCTATTTAAGGTGATACCTGTTTGTTTCGTTTTGCCTTATATACAAGAAAATGTTGACCACCTTTGTTAATATTCTGTTTTATTTCTTTAGGTGCCTGAACACACACAATTAAGTTGGATCCTTACCTGCATGGTCAGACTACCCCGATTACAACATTTACACCAGTGGAAGGTAATGCCAGCCATTTGATTAGTAAACAGAAAGGAGTCCAAAGTCCCCATTACAGCTATTTTTTCCCCCTCTGTTTGTTTTTGTGTTAGGCTCTGGGAGTCCTGAGTTTGCTGGCCTCCCTGATCCCCTACTCACTAGTGGCTGCAACAGCATCTTTAACCTCTCTGCCTCAGGGTATTAAACGGAAAGGAAAAGGGTTCTCCAAGATTCCTTCCAACTTAAAAACTGGATAAAAATATCTAATTTATTAATTATTTGATTTTATCTGTGAATGGTTGAATCAGAATGACCTTTGGATAGGCTTGGTAATGACTTTGAACCTACCATATTATAATTAAAAAACATTCACAATTTCTGGATTACTAGACTCTGAAGTTGCCTCCCATCTTCCCTGGAATTAACTGGCAGTGAGGCAAAAATGTTTTCATTGTGGGGAGAAGAGACAACGTATCTTATTTAACACTTAAACAAGTTGAGTCCAGGCAACAGTTCAAACCCAGAGAAAAATAAAGGCTGTACTTTTTCTAAGAAGTTCCACTGAGAAAGATAAATTGGGTAACTCGTAGTACTTTACTTGCATTTATTTTTGCTATTGGATAACCCGAGCGTAGGTAGCCCCCAACCACGTCAACACTAATTTCAGTTTCAAGCCTCTTTGCAGCATATTTTCAGGGCCATTGGTTTCCTCAAAAGCTGGTCAGAAGGCTTTGCATGTGCTGCAGAGAGAAACAGACAGCTTTAAAGTGACAGTGCCTAAATAAGAGGTATTGATAATGCTGCAGAATCATTACCTGCCAGGAATTAGAAACAAAATTTTGTAATGTTTTTGACCATATTTTGGTTTTAGGCAAGACTTTCCCATTTTATTGTAGTACTCTGACACTAAGTTGAATGCTGAAATCCTTTTTATGAGAACTGAATACTAATTTAATGGGAAATATTCCCACTCTAAAACAGTGTCTAAGGACCTACTAATAACACATTACTGGTGAATGCACTGATATTCTGGAGAAGGCTTCCCGCTAGTCCGTGATATCTTATTTGTGGGAAAAACATGGATTTCAAATGCCAGCCTTGTCCTAGAGCATGTTACTGCCTTCTATGATCATTTCTTCATTAACAAATACAGGTGATGCCTTCTGCAGTCTCATATCATGCTAGGTGCTGGAGGTACAGCAGTCAACAAGACAGACAGATGGATGTAGCCGCTTATAGTCTATTTGGGAAAAGAGAGTTAAACAAGCAAACAGGAAGTGTGAAAAGTGCTTTGAGGGTAGGGTTCCAGTGCTATGGGAGGATCTGAGAACACCAGCTTGGTTTTGATTGGGGCAGGGAAGGGAAGAACAGTGGGGTAGAAGGGTGGAGTCTGGGCTGCTGAGGTCAGGGTTATTTGGAGGATTAATGAGATAACACAAATGTAAGGCATCTGGGGCACATGACAGGCACTCAGTAAATATTAGTGCTCTCCCCATCTCCCCCCTTCCTTTGTAATTTCAAGATCCAGTATTCTAATATAAAAAGACTGTAAATCTAATCTGGTGGTGATTTTTAAAAATTGGATTCTTTTCCCTTTTGCTCATTTCCAAATTAAACTTTCATCATCTTTACCCAGTGATCATTGCGAACCGGCCTCTATCATGGACGTTGTAATAGGAGACATACTGACGGAATTGTATGTTCAAACTTTCGAACTTCCTTTGAACGGCCTATAGCATTAGTTACCGCAAGCCGGAAACTACTTGAAGTAACCAGGAGAGTTAAGTTTGAAACTAAATTATGGAACATTGATATTAAGGTGGTTAAAGAGAGAAACTGTTGCTTTTCAGACCCAGCCTTAGCTTCTCCATTAGGAAAATATTTTCGTCTATACAACCTGTACTGTTTGCTGGAACCACTTGACCCTCATTGCTTCAGCAACTAAAGATCAAGATGGATAATTAGGATTGGTTAGATTACAATTTCTCTTGGTTTCCTTTTTTAAATGCCATGATGTCTATTTTTTAGTTTTTTAAATATAATTTTAAGGGAACATTCCAGTTTTGTCAATAGCACAGTGTGAGACTTTCTGGGAAGTTTCCACAGATAAACGATAGAGTGTTTGATGTTGACTCATGTTAATTTATAGAAATTTAATTTCATGATATTTCCTTACCTTACTTGTGAAATCTGGAATTTATCTGATTTGAAACCTAGAAAACTCTTATGCCCTTACTTTAATTAAATGAATAAGAAATAGTGGCAGTGCAGGATCCTTTAAAGGGGCAGCGGTGAAATGGATTCACTTTATTCCTGCCCAAGCCTGGAGCATGAAGTCAAGCCAGCCAGAAGATGGCTAGAGTTGCTAAAAGGAACTGAGATGTAATGTTGCTACAGATGGCTTCAGATCACCCTTTGCTTGCTTTAAAGATTTCTTCATTTAGTAGTATAATTAGGTTCACGTCAGATTTCTTCCCCTCCTCTCTTTTCACCCCCACAGGCAAAGAACACCAAGCAGAAGCATGATGGAACCATGGGCCTGCTCACGTACCCCGTGCTCCAGGCAGCTGACATTCTGTTGTATAAGTAAGGAGCAGTGGTCACCCCTGGTCTTATGCGTGCTCACGCTAACGAGAGAGTGTTTTAAGCTATCCCAAAAAGATGTGGTTCATGAGGAAGGGCGGCACAGAAAAGATCAGACTTGTGAATCAGTCTGCATCATTCCCCAGTAATAGTACTAAATTATAGTAGTATATTTCAATGTGAAACTAATATTAAGAGCTAACACTCAACTAAAACTTACTATATGTTGGAAACAGTTACCTTTACCTACATTAACCCATTTAATCCTCACTACGACCTTATAAAATTTGCACTATTGTCATCCCCATTGTGCAGATGGGGAAACTAAGGCACAGAGTGGTTAGTAATTTGCCCGACGTCGTGTAGCTAGCCCGAAGTCGTGGACCCAGGATTAGATTCTAGAAAGTTTGGGTACAGAGTCTGTGCTCTTACCCACTATGCAATATATACTTCCCCAGTAATCGTTTAACTTGCAAGATTTTTAAATGTTGATTTCTCATATAATCTAGACTCTAAAGCAATGCTGTTCACTAGAACTTGCTGCAATTATGGGAATGTTCTGTATCTGCGCTCTCCAAGACTGTAGCCACTAGCCACATGTGGCTACTGAGCAATTGAAATGCTTACAGAGGAATTTTAAATTTTATTTAATTTTAATTAATTTTAAATTTAAATAGCCACCAGTGGCCATTGGCTACTGTATTGGACCTGCAGGTTGAGAGCAAGTTTTTCAGCATGGTGTAGGGTGCTCTCACTTTTCCTGGACCCATAATCCACCTAGTCAGCTACTGCTTCCACTTACAGGTCTCAAAACTATACAACCAGAGGATGTCGACGCCTGCACTCTCTGTACTGCTGGCCAGGGCTTCTGCCCACATCCCTCTCCCAGGTCCTCCCTGCTATCCCCACGTTACCTCCCTTGGCCCCCCATTTGGCCTTCTAGAGATAAAGCCTCCCAATTAGCATGCCCTCATGGCCAAGCCTTTCTGCTGTGGAAGCTTCTAAGGAAAAAGAGAAACTCCAACAGTCTTTTTTCACCCCTTTCCCCTAAAGCTTTGACTCCATAAAAGTTTCTCCCGTAGGAGAACTAGAATTCTTTGCATGTAAATGTAATCATAGCATGGAGATGACAGTATATGTACCTTGTGGCATGACGCCAGAGCCCTTGTGCAATTTTGATGGAAACAGCCAGAAGAGTAGCTGCTTAGATTTAAAATAAGGAATGTCCACTAGTACATGCAGGCCATCTTTATTTCTGATTAAAACTTATATATAAGGATTATGTTTTTGGTTGTTGTATTAACTTGAATGCTGGACTCCTGATAGCGTTTATTACTTATAATAAGTGACTTTTGACTTATCCTGGGAAGTCTAGAACACCTTTTCCAGGATATAGGAAATGAAAATCTAATAAAGATCTAATAATATATTTCCTAGTGAGGTAGCATATATACCTAGAAAGGTTCTGTGAAGGACTTTGATTTTCTTACCTGTAAAATGGGAATAATAATTATCCTGTACAGGATTATTAAAGGATTAAAATGAAGTATCCATCAACGGATGAATAGATACAGAAAATGTGAGATATATATACATATATATGTGTGTATGTATATATATATATATATATATAATGGAATATTGTTCAGCCATTAAAAGGAATGAAATCTTGCCATTTGCAACATTATGGATAGACGTTGAAAGCATTATGCTAAGTGAAATAAGTCAAACAGAGAAAGACAAATACTGTGTGATCTCAATTATATGGAATCCAAAATTAAAAAAACAAAACAAAACAAGCTCACAGATACAGAGAACAGATTGGTGGCTGCCAGAGATGAGGGTGGGGAGGGGGAACATGGGTGAAGGGAATCAAAAAGAATAAACTTCCAGTTATAAAAATAAATAAGTCATGGAGATGTAATGTACAGCATGGTGACTATAGTTAATAATACTGTATTGCATATTTGAAAGTTGCTAAGTACATCTTAAAAGTTCTCATCACAAGAAAAAAAATTCTGTAACTATATATGGTGATGCATGTTAGACTTATTGTGATGATCATTTTGCAATATATACTAATATCAAATATTTTATGTTGTACTCCTAAAACTAATATAATGTTGTATGTCAGTTATACCTCAATTTAAAAAAAAAGGATTAAAATGAAATATGGGCCAGGCAGTGCTGTGACTGAGAGCTGTCACTTGGTTATGATTGATGATCATTATGTCTTTGACGATTACAATCTTATTTCTAATTTCGTTTTCAAGGCCTATTCTTTATAGAACCAAAGGCTGAGATTTTTCAGGCTATGGAAATGGAAGCACGTGAGCATGGTAGATTTCCTTAATAGTTCAAGAGCTACAACGGGAGAGTCCTCTGAGCTCAGGGGCTGTGAAAAAGAGTGAACTTGAATGATTGCCCTCTTTGTGATGCCACAGAGCGTAAAGTGGGAAGGAACTCTAAGGAGTCTTTTCTTCAGTTTTCTTGCTTTACAACTGCAGCCCAGAGAGGTTAAGCAATTTGCCCAAAGCTGTGCAGCCAGTCAGTGGACAGTGGAGCATCAGAGCATGATCCTGGTTTCCTCAGGCCACTGCTGACCTTCCTAAGGAGCCAGGAGTTATGTTAGGAGGCAAGACCATCACATGGAACAACCAGAACAATACAAGATCATATATACTAAAGTGATGATGAATTTATGTTTATCAATTGCCCAAAATACAATTTGCAGAATGATAAAATCGTACAAGTTTTCTTTCATCTATAAAGTGGGTTAATGAGCTATAGCTCAGGGGATTATTAAACAAGTTATGTATGAATTGATATCACCTAGTATATCCTCATTACGAACATTTTAAGAGTACAAGAGCAACATTTAAAAAGGCCGACATTGGCAAAAATACCTGCTTAAGATCCCCAAATTTGTCATATATTCTGCCTTTTTTCAAGCCAAGCCTGAAGTTGTGAATGTCGTCTTTTCTTACACAAAACAGTAATTATTTCAGATGTGGCAGGTAAACACTAAGGGCTTTCCGATAGCTTCCTGCCTGCCTCACTGTCCCCAACACCAGCACGTTCTCACAGTTGGTTAATGCTTCTGAGGACAAGTGTCTCTTTTTCAGCCTCAGTTATCACCCCACCCCCTCCCAGTAGCAAAGAAATTCCACACTGTAAATATTCCTTTTGTAACTCTTACTAATCGATTTGGTGGTTAGAAAATGTAGTAAGAACGGCATAAGATTCTTTTTTTTCCTAGTTTCTAAAAGGAGGATAATGGTAGCAGATTCTTGTCTATCCCCATTAGGATTCTGATATTTGACACGCGATTTGTTAAAACAGATAAAAGTGTTTTTCTATAAAACTAGGTAATAATCTATATTCAAGATGATTTTCTCCTACCGCAGCCTAGAAACTGTCTACCTGTAATGTCATAATTAGATCATAGACGTGGAACAGACACCTGCATGCTCGTTTTCTTAAGAGAAACAACCCTGTATTTCCCTCCTGTCTGGTCTCAGACCTCCTGCTGCCGGCTGCATGTGCTCTAGCTCATAGACTGTTTCTTTGGGGTCTTTTCTCCTGCCGTCTTCCTTCAGGCTGTTCCCATGGCACTGTTTCCATACCACACATATCCTACATTCCCTGGGTGTGGATGTCAATTGGACCACTACAAAGCATGCAGACAAGTACAGGAAAATCAGCTCTTGTTTACTGCGGCATTTATTCTGCTAACATACACTTCTCATCTGTCTCATTATGTTTCCTCCCAAGTTTAGAAATTCCTAATTGCTTGATAATAAGTAGCAGAAGCAGGACTGAAATCCAGGTCTGATTTTTAGCTTGTACCATTGTTTTCCCTATAACAGAGCTCATGCGCCTGGGGGTATTTTTTGTTTGGTTTTATTTCAGATATTTCTGGATTTTAAAAAATGTCACAGCCGGAATGTCTATGAATATTTACATTATAAATATAGATAGGTAGGTAGGTAGATTGAAGGATGGATAAAACGTGTATTTTCTCCCACCATCAAATCCATATGTAGCATCTTCATAAAATGTTGATACAGGTCAAGTATAGATTTAGTGTTTGCTTTTATCAAATCAGCATTAGAATGAGTGGTACACAGTGGGCTGGAGAACAAACACGAGGGAAGGGAATGGAAGAGAAACCTTCCAGATAAGTGTATGAAATATTTATGTATTTGTTTTGGCAGAACTTGGTAAGGAACCTGGGAATGGAGGGCTGAAACCATCTTAAGCTTGAGAGCATAATAAAGTAGCAGATATTTGAAGAATTCAAAATATTCAAAAATAGCAAGTGTTCATCATTTTTCTTTTGCATTTTTTTTACTTTATGAATATCCAATTTCAAATAGCTGGCTATATATTAAATAAATATTTCTTTATATATATATGTATATACACACACACACATATAGTTTTTATTAATATACAGCAAACACTTGTTAAGTACGTATAATGCCACTGACCCAGAAAAAAGGCACTACGCAAGGCTTAAGAGAAAGGGAAGGAAGGAATTACATGTGTTGAGCGTCATTTGCCAGGTGCCATACAAGCAGCCACACACGCATTGTCTATTCAGAGACTCACAGCAGCTCTGTAAGAGAGGTGGTAGTATTATTCCCATCTTACAGATAAAGAAATGAAGTTTTGGAGAAGTACCACTAAATCTACTCGAATAGAGATGAGAGTGATTACCTGGGCTCATCAGTTTCTCCTTCAAGAACTTGAACAGAGGACTATGGGAAGCAGATAAGAAGACAGTGAAAGCAAAAGCTGAAATGACATAGAAAAATGGGGAAACGGAGGCCTCAAGGAACTGTGAGTAAGCAGAACCAAAACCAAACCAAAAACAAAGGGTAGAGAGATTAAGATGATTGGCTGGAAACTTTAGGTTTGGTAATTCTAGAGAAGAATTGAGCCACCACAATGTTGGGGATCAGACTGCCGCCATTGAGGACCACTGAGATCATCAGTTC